TTATTATGGACCTTGATTGCAGTTTGAATATAGTTATGTAAGTTTACTGCTCGTACATATCATCAATATGAATTAATTACCATTTCACGCAGCATTAAAATCAAATCTATCTGAATATCTAAATCCAACAAATTAAAGAATCTCAATTATAAATCACAAAATATGATAAAACTCTGAGTGACATCCTCTACACATCCACAACTGCTTGCCACTATATAGTATACACGAACACATGTATAATGTATGCAAAGATACAGAGTACAACAGTACACTGCGGGCCCCACTTTTCACAAAAATGACGACATAATTCACCCAGAATAACCAAAATAAAACAGAAAATAAAATAAAATAAAATCCACAGAAACTAATCCACTCTGTTTTCCCCTGCTATAAATACCCCCACCCGCCCAACACCTCCATCCCACCACCAAATCCACCACCGTCGCCGCCACAGCCCTTCCCCTTCACATCACTCACCAAATCAAAATTGATTTCCATCTCCAAAAAATCAAAGTACAAAAAAAATTGTTACATAAAAGAAATGGCAACTTTGGGAGCATCAGCAGTGCAGATGCACACGCCGCCGCAGAGGTCGCCGTGGCACTCGCCGGTGCCGTACCTTTTCGGCGGTCTGGCGGCGATGCTAGGCCTCATCGCCTTCGCGCTCATGATCCTGGCGTGCTCCTACTGGAAGCTCTCCGGCCACTTCGAGAACAGGGACGAGAGAGGAGAAGGGGAGGGGGATCTCGAGGCCGGGGAGAAGGCGGCGGCGCCGCCGCCGGCACCGGCGGAGATGGAGGAGAAGTTCCTGGTAATCATGGCCGGGCAGGAGAAGCCGACTTACCTGGCGACTCCGATGTCGAGCCGAGCGTCGTCGTTTGGGAGCAAAAGCAGCTGCAGTAGTGATAATACGACGTCGTCTGATGGGAGTTGTGGGGAGAATAGTGTAAAGGGTGGTGCACCTGGAACAGGACTAGCAGATCAGATCCAGTGAATTATTTTTTTTTTTTTTTTAATTGCTCTTTTTTACCCCTTGGAGAGTATTTGGAAGAAGTATTAATTCGGTTGTAGAAATTTGGCAGAATTGAGACTTTGCTTCTTGTTAGGGCTTTTTCTGAAAATGTGTAAATAAGTTTTGGAGGACGAATGGAAATCTACTAAATACTACATATATAGTTAACTAATTACTTATTAGTGTTGGTGAGTTAGTTCTTGATGCTTAATTTGTAACTAATTAACAATTGTGGAATCTCGGCCGTTAGACTTAGGGGTTGAGTGATTTTGGAACATCCTTCTCCACTACACGTGGCGGTCGATCTGTTTGAATTTCAGCATTTTCCTCGAGTTCGACTTAAAAGTTTATCTGAAAAAATAAAATTAAAAATCTCACTTGAATATAGCTAGATTGAGATAAATGTATTTTGTTAATTATATTTATACTCGAACAACTCATCAAACACTCGATTATTAATATACAAATTTGTATTTGAGTTCGAGGTGCAAGAGTTCCACTTGTGTTCGGTCAATCTCCAAACACAAGCCAAATTATGATTCAAGCTCAAGAATTTCTCTATTCTTTTGCAACTCTACTCAACTCGTTACTTTAGACAATTCTCAAAATTGATCTACTTTTCTTGATTGAAAGACATGGTCTTATAAATAGTTTATCCAATTAATATTCTTTAACACTGACCGTTTATACTATTCGACTGTTGCATGATATCAAAAACGAAATTGTGATTTTTTCGTTTTCTTCTAGTTTATATCTATGAATGTAGTAAAGTTTCTCTTACTCTCATATATGTTGCCATAAAATAAATTAGGTGGTTTGGTAGAACACACCCACAATATAACCTGAAATAAATAAATAAATGAAAAACAAGAGAAACATGATGAGTGTAATTTGTTGATAGAAACTGTTGGGTCACGTGACACATGGGTGAACACGTGGCCTATCATCAAAAGAGAGTAGTTGCTCTCTTTCTAGCCGCGGCGACGTGAAATCTGCAATAAAGACCGCTAACAGGTTCGCCAAATCATGTGTGCTCCTTTAATCTTCCATTTTTCTAAGAAGAAAAATTAGAAAAAATCTAATTATCCACCATTAATTCCCATCCCAATTTTTCTTTTTATTGTTTTATTTGCTTTAAACACCATATATACTTATCTATGATTCTCATCAATTTCCATAACAAACTACATTTTCAAGAAATGAATTTGGACAGAGATTTATGAACTGCATCCTGTTGAGGATGATGTCCAGATTCAACTGGGTTTGCTTTAATATGTTGACACGAACACAACACAATATGAATAGAGTGTATATTTCACAGACAAATGATTCGATGAGCACCACACGACATAACACGACCCAAAACATGTCACAAAAAACACTAAATAAAAACTTTACTTTAATTTAAACTTATTGTTATATTTATAATCAAAATAACACGATCATAAACTTATTGTTATATTTATGATTCGCCAAAGTTATAGTGGTTAGTGACTGGTTAAATACCTTTCGGTCTCACCCAGTCTCTAGGGAATTTCTCCAGCCTTTAAATAGTTGAGTATATCTATACCAAACAGGAGAAGGCATAAAGAAAAAAGGTTATGCGTATTGCTTGTTTTGTTTCAAGAGAAGGATATAATTTTACTTACAATTGAGAGAAAGCAAACTATTGGTATAATTTTACTTGATTTTGAAAATAGCACATGGTAAAGAATTAAAAATTATGAAAAAAAAAACAGTAAAGTTGTTGTTAATCAAACTTTACGATTGAACATGCATAATTTTTTTCAAATAAGTAAAAATACTTTCATGTCTGAATATAATACTTTAGGAAAACCCTTTAAATAAAAACATGACATTTTTCAATGTAAAATTTACACTTTTATTGTTCAAAACATAATAACGGCTCAATCTCATCTAACCGTTAATCTGACTTACTACAGAATTAGTAAAAAACAAAAAAGTGGCAACATTATCAAGCATGTGTAAGAGCCAATCAGCAATGAAACCGAGACAATTAGTATAGTGAGGTACACAACAGCATGCATTGTCTTGTTAGTGGGGATTGCATTATTTTAGCTTTTCCAAGTCTTAACTTCACAAAATAAAATATGATGAGGAAATCAATAATTGTGGTAAAGCGTATGAATGAAAGTAGCCCAGCCCAATTGGTGGGCGTTTTAAATCACAGCAATACTGTGGGTTTTTTTAAGGTTATCTCCGTCATTCTCTCTATTTTAATGTAAAATTAGTTTATTTTGGAATAAAGTAAATAAAAAATAAAGTTTTATTTTACTTCACACAATTTACAATTATTTTCCTTTCACTGCAAGAAAATAATGTAATTCCAACGAAAATATATTTTAATAGAATTCCAACGACAATTTTAATGCTATTATTTCCGTTGGAATAATTCCAACTGAAATTCCAACAAAAGTATTCCGTTGGAATGAGTTTTTCATTGAAATTTTTGTTGGATTTTGACGATTCCAATAATTGATTTTTCAACGGTGGTGGAAGTAATAATTCCAGCGAAAATTGCAAATTCCAACGCAAATTTCTACGGTCAAAAGCCGTTGGAATTATCAAATTCCATCTAAAATTTCAATGAAAAAAACACTCCAACAAAATATTTTCGTTGGAATTTTCATTGGAATCATTCCAACAAAAGCTTTACCATTGAAATATCTGTTGGAATTTCCATTAGAATATATTACCATAGAATTTTCCGTTTGAATATAACAAATTTTTTGTAGTGTTTAATTTTGATATCAAAATTAATAAAATATATTATTTTACGTATTTATTTATTTAAATTGTCAATATCTGTTTAGAAAAAAGTTAGTTATAGATAACAATATCTGAAAATATCCCAAGCATATATACTCTTGTTCTATTATACATATTGTTTATATATTTTATTTTTTTTATGATANAAAAAAAAAAAAGAGCAAAACAAAACAAAATTGAGCACAAATAAATAGTACTTCGCTACATATATATTGTGCAGAGTACTGTATATTACTCCTTTTAGCGTTAGATTGTGGCGCAACATTGGAGATCATTTTGGCACAACTTTGACGTAATCAAGTGAAATAGAGCAGCTGTAATGATGAGAAATTAATAGTGGATAAAATACAAGTTACTGTCTGCATCATTATATTCCACAACTTCTTAAGGATTTGCTGACGTGAACAAACAAACACTTTTGCCTAATCCAGTTATAATATATATACAGGTATGTAGTAATTATTTATTGCATAAGAAATTATGTGAGCTCTAGTCTTTTTGGCTCAGTAGCAAAGTACAAACGTTTATTTGTGATGACCTTTGTAACAAATGTATATATACTTATACTGTATATGAAGTTTCATAATTTGATTTGCTTAGTTTTGTTCCAATTTGAAACTATATCGCATATTTGTTGAAAATATATATATTTGTTTGATTGTTAAGCTTGTAAAAGAGTAGCCTTACATGTACGTGCTACAATAGGTATAAATTATTTAATAGTTTCTCTATAAATATATGTACATGAAAATATATATAATTTGGGTAAGTTACGTTCTACTATATTTTATTTTATGTACAATTAGCATGCTCATAAGATAATATATATATAGATGGAGCATACATTTGAAGTTTGTCCAATTTCCTTTTAAACACACAATGGTAAAATTTTCATCAAAAAGATAAAGATAGTGGATTAGGATATTCTTTTGCATGCCTGATTATTTTATGTCTCGTCCTCAATTATTCAGTCTTAACTGCAATCAAGTTCGTATGTGATTAATTTTAAATAAATTGATTAATTTGCAATCACTTTTGTAGGGTTCTAGTTTACATTATTCATTATTGGATTGACCTACAACTCCAATTAAAGGAGATATTGTGATTCAATGTTTCCCCACAACATATTGTTAATCCACTTATGATTACTCCTAAGCACTAAGATTAATTATCCAATTAAGTTCGATATAGATATTATGGACAACATTATCCAAAACTTATATTTTTTTGAACATGCCCTCAGTCCAATAATGGTTTTAGCATCACTAAGTACCCAACTTGTTGCATTTAATTAATCACTATTTCATAGTCACGTATCTTTCTAGAAATGGAATGAGAAATCTTTCTCCTGTTACATTAATTCAATTTTCATTTCATGCAGAAAAATTAAGAATTAAGATGATATATGTTGATTAATTCAAGCCTAATAGTCAATTACACTCAGTTGCACACATTGTATATATGAGTATATGCCGATCAGACAGTTAAAACGTGAGGACAATTTTCATGAACAGTTAGGGTGAAACTCAACAAAAAATGGTTAATTTCAAGTCGCCACCGGATTTTTTACAGTTGTATTAACACATACCTATGTAATTATAGATGTATATGTCGATCAAAAGATAAAAAGCCACGGTGACTGCACTAGAATTAATGAGCCACCTATAGAAATAGTGAAGTGATGATGTATGTACACAGTTGGTGTAGTACGTTGCACAGTACGTGCATCAATCGGTTGTACCATGATTCATGTGTTCGTACGTACAATGAGTAGTGCAGCTTTTTGAAGGGGAAATAAAAGCAACAGATGAGATGTACGAGGATCGATGCCTTTGTTGTTGCTTTTGTGTAAGTTAACGTTAAATAACTGCCTTCCCTTTTCCCCAATTCTAAAAGAAGCTGATGCTATTTTTACTGCTATTTTTTCTTTCTTTCAGTCTTTCAGAAGTGACTGTGCTTTGGCATCTTCAATTCATGTTCATTATTATCTCCAACATAGCTTTGTNNATTTTACCATACTAGAAAGTCTTGAGTATAAATCTTGGATAATAATTTTAATGTGATTAACTACTATTTGTACAAACAAGAAGCTAATATAAAGAGGCATTAAGATTTTCCTTTTTTCTTAAGAGTTGGGGTTAAAATTAGCTCCAAATAGAGATAAGAAATGAATATTTGTTAAATTGGATTGAGGCAATTATATGAACACCACCAGATATTGTAAAAGTCGTGATTATATATATCTTATATTTTCACATGCATCTGGAAACTATTAAATGTACAAGATATATTTCATAATTTCCATTGTTTAAATGTGGGGTATAAAACATTTAATCTACTTTGACATTCTAGGCTTTTAAAATAGATTGATTAATTTATAATTAATTCAATAAGGCTATTGTTGGTCAGATCTAAAGATTAGTCAACATTAATTTTTTCCACAAATTTGCATAATTTCAAACTAAAGTATATCATACTCGAAAGAAAAACACACATAAAAGTATTGAATTTTATAAGATAATTATACATTTTTGTTAAGAACGTGTGATGGGTCGATCTGCCTAACAATTAGCCCAGATCATATAAGAATTTGTAATTATATATTGCTATATATCTATCAATTGTGCACATTACATTGGACAAGATGCATTTGGATAAAAATGACTCAGATCATCTCCAATGGAATGTATATTGTAGGATTATTGTAGAAGTAATCCCATAAAACTCTTCTCCAACGATATCTTTTTTACTTCTATTTGTGCTTATGTGGCATGAAAGAGAATGACTTATTCTTGAATTCTTTCTACATGTGAAAGTACTTCTAGATTTGATGACTCATTTTTTTCTTTTATTATTTCTTTTTTATTTTAATTAAAATATGTAACAATGTTTATATAAAGATTATTTTATTTACTAAAACATGTATCTAGTATTTACTAAAATATTAACTAAACTTGAAGAAAAATTTTAAATTATAATCTAAGTCGTTGATTAAATTATAAATTATTGGTATTTATTTGTACACACCTTATCAAATGGCAAATTAATTTACATAAAGAATAATAAAAGAAAAATAACAAAACACTTCTAAAATTATACTATAAATTTAATGGAATATATTTTGTTAAAAATTATACATTAACATACCGGATACTCTTAACAAAAAAGAATTATCGATATACAAAATCTAACATACCTGGATACTCTTAACAAAAAAGAATTATCGATATACAAAAACTAGCTCTTCAAAAAATAAATACCATAATATATAGTGTTGAAAATCATACTGGTTCAAAGTTTGTTCAAGTTTTTTGCTATTTTGTTAGCACCTCACATTAAAAAAATTGTTAGAACAGTAAAATCAGGAAAAAAAAAAGTAATTTGTTAGAACATCACAAAAAAAAGTATTTTGTTAGAACATCACACTAAAAAAATTGTTAGAATAATAAAATNNGAAGAAAAAAAATGTAAAATTTAGAGTGTGATTTTATGGTTCAAACTTGTTCAACTCATAAATAGTGTGATTTTATGGTTCAAACTTGTTAGACTTAATGAAAAATAGTGTGATTTTGAACAGCAAAGAAAAAAAAAACACACACACAAATTGGAGAGTTATTTAGAATGGCTTAAGATTAAATAGATATAGGAATATGATAACTCATCCGAAGAAGTTCAATGATAAATTTTGTCATGTCCAAAAATCCTTATCCAATACAAACAAACTAACTCACGCAAAAGCATTTTTCATCTTTGATTTCAATTTGATCATGGAATGCCATTATTACAGCACAATGTACTAAATTTCATAGCTATAAAAGAAATAGTGATAAACAATAAATGATGAAATAAAAAAAACATTGGCGGTCTAGGATTTAGCATATATCCTTGCTTACACATGAACAGGATTAAGCACGTACGATACAGTATGATTAAGTGCCATTACAGCAACATCCATTTTATATAGTACCATACAAAAAGGTCAAAAAAATTCCCGTCAACCATTATTAATGGTGTCAGCCCAAGCACACCTGAGAGCTGCAAATCACGCCTAGGTATATTTCTCAGTCTTCTATATGGCCTACCATAAATTGACCAAAAGGTGACGAAAATTACATCGACCTATAATCAATCAAATTGAAACTTATACGAGGATAAGTACGAAAATATTCTTTTGGAAATTTCAAAAACATAGGAATCACAAGTTCTGGTTTCAGGCTGTCTAATGACTAGAAAACTATATTGTTCAATGAAAATCGAT